TCAGAGGTTGACCTAATTCGTATTTATAGCTTCTGATTTCATCAGACATTTGTACCACCCATTAATCGTGTTTACGTCACTCCATACCGGCAGGTTTAGGTTTCAGTTCCCGGTAGTCGCACAGAGATTGCACTTTGTTGATCAGTCTCAAAAAGTTCAAAACAACTATCGAACGCTCTTTTATGACCGTAGCTCAAAAGTAAAACGCGTTCGCTCTGTGAGAGAAATCCCGTCTCTCCTGGAGAACAGTAATACTTAAACCGCGACGTCTGTGAATTCACGCGAATGAAAGTTGGCATCTAAGTATTCCAAGAAAACCTGTTTCTTTGTGAAGTGACCCGCAGAAGGGGAGTTCCGATGCCCTATAATTAAATCATTCTGTTCCTCCTATAAAACTGCCAATTGTTTTCCATACAATTTCAACTTCTTCCAATCCTGTCATTATCAGCACTATTGACATTGCCATTTTGCCCTAATTACCAGAGTGAAAACTATCAAACTTTTAAGAAGTTACCGTAAATCACTACTCAGTTCTCATGCACCGGTTCGTGCTGACAAAATATTGATTCTTTTAATTTACAATCCTTTTTCCTGCCTACCTACATTTTTCTTTTCATGTTCGATCGGTTTGTTTGCGATATTCTTGGTATACTTTCATGGCACTTCATTGCCATATTCCACGTTCTGGCCATGGTGAGCCGTTTCTTCTGATTCAATGACCAAGTAGATTACACAGTTTTGTGGTGTGCATATTTTTGCCTAACCCCCCCTCCCTCAGATTCCAACTTTGTTTCAGTTCCGTTTTCATACTGAGGTCCGATTTTTGACGCAGTGTTCCAAAAGTATCTAATCTGTTCAATACACTTACAAACACAAAAATTTGAACATGACTTCTATGAAAACACTTAACACGACTCCTGCTGCTTAGTTTGATTTCAATTGTGTCATGATCCAATCGTCGCGTTCTGTTCACACTTATTCACTCGCTACCCCACCCCAGATGTTACGGGTTTCTGGTGTATGACGCATTTTTATAACTGTTAGATTGTCTCACTGTTTCTCACACTCCTCGCTACAATGTTTTCGGTTTATCGCAGTTTTACCGTGCGATTCACTATCTGTACACTCGATCTTTATTGCCAGATCACAGTCGAAACACGTGGTCAAATGTATGTTTTTCGGCGTGGCAACCGTGGGCTTCTATTGAACGAGACAAGATATTTTTGTTTATAGCTAAACAACAACAACAATTGTTACCTAGTACACCCGAATTCCTCGTTAAAGCAAAAAAAAATCAGTTGCACCCAGATACGTTTTGTTGCACAACCCTCTGATGATGGGCAAGTCCACAGCTGTCCTAGTACTGTTAGGTTATTATGGGGTTAACCCGTCTGTTTCAGAACTTATATCCTCATTTTTTATGAAAAAAGGTTTTCCTAATGAACGGTGTTGTCCTCTGTGATTAAGAAGTTCAACATTTTGTTACCTGACGCCAAAATTCAACTGTCTCATCACAAGGTCATTCTCGATGTTAACTGCGTTGATAGCTACTGTACATTTATACTTCGTGGAGGAACACTCATTCTGCTGAGATATTTTTCAACAATCCATCGTCCTTTCAACCTGGGTTTAACGGTCACCATTGTTTTTCTGAATTCAGGGAATATTTGCGTAATTTAATCGAGGGCTCACATCTGTTCATCTCGATGCTTGCTGATCGCATGAAAAGTGGTGCACAAACTATGTTTGTTCGTCGCAAAAAAGTGATACGTCGCGCACGTCAAGGACGACGAACGACCGCAGCCACATCCGGTCGGAAAAAGAACCGATCCGGTGAACAGGAAGAGGAAGAGGACGAATCACCGGAGATTCGCCTAATGCGAATTGAGTATCAATGGAACAACCAGTTATTACCGGAATTGGTGAACATTTTGGAGAATCCCGCAGGCTCCCGGGCCGATGAGGAAAACGATGCAGAGTCTAGTGACGATGATCCGGAGAAGTCTCGCCTATTCGATGCTGTTGCCGGTGGATCAGAGGCCAAACAACTACGCTCGGCGGTTCGTCGGGTTCAGGCAAATTTGTACGCCGGTCGAGCTGCGGTCGCGTTTCGTCTTGCCCGTCGTATGTGGCGTCTTTGGCCTGAAGTCGCTCCGACAACTGTAGATGAAAACGATCCTGTGCTGAATAGTGAATTAGTCGTTAAGTTGCCACCTTCCAGTGTATCCGTTCTATCCGCATTACGGCAAATTCATATCACCGAGTTGCAAGGTTAGTTGCGTATTTTACTGTGAATTGGATTTATCTAACCATTGCTTAGTTTTGTTGTCTGTCAACGTTAGTTTTTTTACCAGACTAATACACTAGCACTTACCCACCATTTCTTGGCCGGGAGATCCGTCACTCATAACTTTTGCGTGAGGTATGCCCACGGTTAATGCCTTGCACATCCGTGGTTCATCGCGCAACGAAAAATGTCATAGGATTTCTTTGCTCACTTTTAAAGGGCTGTCTTCACACTGACAGTCGTACCATAGTCATCAATGTATGTACTACTGCCTGTCTAATGCATGAGGTGATTTGATAGTTTGTTGGATTTAATTTGGTTGGTGGCACCACTTATCTTTCTTTGCACTGGGCGGATTCAACCTAAAAATTGCACGTCCAAAGCTGGGCGTTGCATTGAACCAATCTATACAAACAAAATACTGTGCAGTTTTAAGAAACCTAGTAATTTGGTACACAGTGTTTTGGAGGTGAATTTTATCCCCACTTAGATTAAAACGAGATTTTCACCCTAAGCTTTGTTGCAACGACAACGCCGATTATCTGTGTATATTGATGTACAAATGGAATCCATTTTTTCACATATGCTAAACTCTCCTACACGTTCTTTTTGGTGTTCGTAATTTCTTGGACGTTCGACACGTTTCAACGGTGGTGCTGAATTCGATCAATGATATCGCGATCGAGGCCCTCTCATAGTCGCTTTGTGTCGATTCGTAAAGAAACCTTTTTGGCCTCTGCCTAATCGATTTCCGTCCTACGGTTTGTATACTATGCTCATCGGACTTGTTCCATCTGACTCGAGTTTTATCAGCCTTACCAATTTTGCGTCGACGACTAATACACATAAGAATCTGGTTCTTTATGAATTGAGCCGTAACCAAGTACCAAAGGATGAAACAGTTTTTATTTCCTTTCAAGGTCTAGGTCGTAGAACGGGTTAGAGATACAGAATATCGATGACATTGTTTCTCTATCGTTTGCTCATAGAACAAATGTCTTCATCGGAATTGAGGTGTGATGTCTAGTCAGTATGCGATAGTGGTGAGCAATCTCATTTCTGGCGCGTTGTGTTTACCAGTGCATCTGCATGATTTTCCCTTACGAGACTTAGCAAGATGGACTATGAGGAAATCTTGGCACCCGAGGATAGTCACTAAATCATCATCGTCATCATTGTACAGCGTAATGCAGTGAAGCGAACTTCACCGACCGCTGCCAAATGTACGAGAGTTACTGTTTACCGCAATAAGATACATCAGGCGGCTCCAAAGAACTCTAACCAGGAGGCTTATCGCTACCTATCTGACCAACTCCACTGGTCAACCTTATCATACCAAGTCTCTGTCTGACTTCCCTTGAACCGTATTCGCGTGTCCCATGTCTAAATGACGATGCGTGTCACATTTGTCTCAGGCATTGTAGCCTCTAAGAAAGCAGTTTTTTAACTTCACAAATCGCGTATTCGAAGAGTCGGTGGACAGAGTGTTTAGGTTCATACGAAGGAGTTTATACTGTTGTATGGTAATTATTGTGTCAGTAAGTTTATTTTGAGGGTTGAACTGTTTTCTTTGTTTTCAATATTGCGAGTCGAATCTTTCTGCCCCCTATCTGAACACTTATTCAGACGAGGATGAAGAACTAGATGCTGCCTCGGACGGAGATGGATCTGGCGCGGAGGCGGAGGATGAAATGGATGATTTGTACAACGAAGAAATGGGACTGGAGGGGTCGGATGATGAACGTGGCCTTCTGGTGACAGTAGAGAAAGAAGTTCAAATGGATTTGACGGCGTTTGTGTTTAAGTTTGCTCATCCGAAGATTGTGCACGCGCTCACGTAAGTTGATGCTTTGGCAGATAGATGGATTCTCTCCTGTTCCAAATCGCTTCTAAATGTATAGTTAATAAGTAAGTACTGTGAGATGCTCCACAGCTAGCTACAGCAGCAGACACAACTAGTACCCTTTTGCTATTTAAAATGTTATTTCAAACAGATTCAGCTACCGTTCCGTTCCTATTTCCCAATTTTCTCTTTTTAGCTTATGTTTAAGCGATTTTGAAACCAATCCGGCATCAACCAATTCGGCAGTTGTACATATCATTCACCGGCTGGCTGTCAAGCATAAGCTGGTGGGATCGTTCTTTCAACTGCGATTGTTCTACGTATTCCAGAAATTTCTGCACAATTCAACTCTTTTGAAATCCAAGGAATTCAAGGTCAGTCCATCAGTTGTTGCGCATACTGATTTAAACTGAGTGTCATCCTCACACCTGCCGAGATCACATTTTAAGCCCACGTCAATTTCTGCTTGAGAATTTCAGTGATGATTTGTTCATATTTGCCATACAAACTCACCGTGTTATCCATCCTTAGAAAGCCTTGGAAGGATTGTACGGTTATTTCACTTTAGTTGATCATCATCATCATCAACATCATTGTACAGCGTAAGAAAATGAGGCGAACTTCATTGATCGCTACCGAACTCACAATGCATACAAAGTAAGTCAGAATGTGTAAAGAGGATAGGGATTGGTCTTATTTTTAGGGACGGGAAAAGAAAGCGAACCTCTATGGTCAACGAACAGAACGCACAGTCCACTGTGCATAAATACTATTTCAAACATTCTGATCTGATAAGAAGTGACAGCAAGATCGCCAATGCTGTCGGTTCGCAGCCATGACCTTCAGTGTCTCCAACCACGCAGTTTGAACCCCATCACGGAAGACGAGAGACACCTACTCTACCTAATAGCTATGTGCATTTCTTCATGCCTCGTTTCCACGTCATCTACTGGTCTCCACGCGGCTTTCTCCATCCTGCAACAACCATTGCAAATGAGGCGCGCTGCGGTAGGCGACCGTCGGACAAACACAAAACGAGTCCTAACCAACGGAGCCTATTGAATTCGATGCAATGGCGAGTTTGTGTTCGATGATCACAACGAGGCTGTACCTTGACTTGGTGTGGTGGCTTGCATACCTCCATTATCCTGCAAGCTATACAAAATGACTCCTCACAGCCGCAGATCCAATCATGCCTGAAAGGTCAAGAGGTAGAGGCCAGACGAAGATCGATATCACAAAGCCAGCTGCTTGGAGGCCTCTTGGCTTCCGTTTTTTATCTCGACCGCACCTCTTTGGCAAATAAGCACGATGAAGGGCAGTTTACCGGTAAAAAAGCACCGCTAGGTGGACGCAGGAGCGGGGTACCTGGGGCTTCCTCTTGACAGTGGGAGAAGTCTTCGCACTTCATTGGACAGCTACCGCCCGCCCAAGTTGGGCAGCCCCCAGCCAATAAAGTGCTGTCTCGTCCACGTTCCGCTTGTCTCATTGGATGCATGAGGCTAAGGGCCGATCCCGAAAAGCGAACCGGCAGTCAACCCACCAGCGAATAACAAACTTAACCAAAACCCGCAGGCCTTACGTGACAGGTCTCTAGAAGCTCCCACACGGGTGCTTCGTTCACGCTCCCACTGCCTTGTAGGTCAGACTTTTGAGTCAAAAGCTCCGGCTGGGGTTCCCAAAGAAAAACTCCTCTCGTCGGTGTGGGCTACCGCGAAGTATGTCGTGTCCTAAAGTCTTAGGCACTCATTTGGAAAAAAACTCCTTGCCATCTATCCAGTTCTTCCTCTTTATCCCGAATAGTCCCAAACGCCTGTTTATAAGAACCATCGGATATCGCACGGCGTTTTGTAACCAAGTAAAAACAATCAGGAGTTATGGGATTTCTGAAACCGAAATTCCCTGTTCACCTAGCCGCGTTCAATGTCCGCACACTATCAGATTGGTCATCAAGCTGCCTTGGCTAGAACTCTCGAAACTTTCAATTTAAATGTATGCTGTCTCCGAAACACGCATACAGGACCCCACGTCCATTATCTCCCTGCATTCTCCTGATCCAACTTCAACCTCACTCTTCACCCTTCGTGTGTCAGGTGATTCTGCATCCGAAGCTCACAGTGTTGCTGGTGTCGGGATTGCGCTAAGCACCAAGACTAAACGCTCGCTTCTTAACTGGATTCCAGTCAGTAGCCGACTGTGCGCCGTACCTCTCAACGGTTCAGCGCGGGTCAACAGTTACAGAACGAAGCGTTGATGCCTGTTCATCGTGTCGGTGTATGCACCGACCGATAGCAGTACACCTGAAATGAATTGTGCAAGGACCTTTCTAGCATACTCCAAGGTGTTCGATCAACGAACATCGTGGTAATCGCCTGGAGACTGCAGTGCTCAAGTGGGATCCCTGGACTAATCTGAAAGACTTCTTGGTGGACCATATGCAATCCCAGCCAACCGGACGGACAACAGCGATTGTCTACTTCAACTCTGTGCAGACCACGGATTGTTCCTGGCAAGCACGAACATCTCGCACAAGAAACACCATCGACCTACATGGAAACCGCCAACCTCTTCACTGCACTGGACCCAAATCGACCACATCGCAATCAGTTACTGCTGGAGGGGATCAATTCAAGACTGCCACCCCTACTGGTCAACAGCTGTGGATACAGACCACGCCTTGTTACGAGCCAAGTTCTCCTTA